AATTTACTTAATAAAAAATTAAGTTTTAATATATGGCAATTATAATAACTAATTTTTAAAAAATTACTATTTTCATATAAGTGTAACATTATACAAAATTGTGTAACTTTAATTAACTTAAAAATTACTGCATAGAATTTTGCAAACTTTTTTTATTTAAAAGCTTTAAATTTAAATAATATTTTATATAATTTTTAGATTTATAGCTTATTTATTTAGCTCAATATAAAATTTTAAAAAGTGCTATAATACTATGGTACCCACTGTACAACTAACTTTTTTTAACCTATTAACTCGATATAATTTTTTATAATTATTAGTATTATTAATAATTAATTAAAAATAATATTTGGTTAAATATAGATAAAACAATGCAAGTAGACTAATAGTGTCTTGCTATATTTCATGTAGCAATGTAGTATAACTTCTATAAAGCTTACTAACATTTTTTATTGGTTCAAATTCTGGTAATTCTAAAAGTGTTGGTACTTTATTTAATTTAATATTCTTTTCTTTATTTGTTTCTTTACTCATTTTTTCTCCTTCTCACCTACCCTACTTTTTTCACTTTGCTTGTAAGTGCTTTTTACACTTTTTTTATTTTCAGAATCCATAGCATAATCGATAATGTAATCTTGTTCTTCTATTATAAATAGATTTTCATAATCTATCATGTTGTTAATTCTTGTCTCTTTGTGATTATTATGTTTAAAGATAAAAAATTGCAAATTAGATGAAGAGTTATTATCAGCAGTATCATACTTATTATTGGAAGTATCATTATTAGCAATACTATCACTATTAGACATAGTGTAAGCTATTTTTTTTTTAAAAAAAAAATTTAAAGAATTAAAAGTGTCAATCTTTTATTCAAAAAATATTTTAAAAGTTTATTGAACCTTATTGGTTTTGTTTGTAGCAAAATATATCAAAACAAGTATAGCAGTTATATGTGTATACACTGTTCACAAACAATAGAGGGTACTTTTAATGTAAACAATTTACCAGAAACCAGAAATTTTTGGGCAAATTTTTTTTCGAATACGAACTAAAGGATAAGAGGAAAGCCAGAAAATATGTGGTTTCTTTTGGGGAGAGAGTGTCTTTTTAAAAAACATGTTTATATATAGTAAAATAAAGAAAATAAGAAATTTAGAGAGGAGAGATAATTTTATTACCATATAAATGCGAAATAATGTGCAGGAGTGTAATTTCAAAATTTGGCCTAAATTAAGCCTAATTCGGGCCATTATTTAAAATAACATTCATGCGTATTATTTTGTGCTTATATGGTAAATTAAAAAGCATGTGTTTTCTAGCCCTCCCTAAATAGTTATTTATATAATAAGAAATACAATGAATATAATACTCTAGTATATTTTACTCTAAAGATAATTTTTTATATAAATCGTCTAAAAAATCTATAAATAGTTTTTATTTTATATTAAAAAGTGAGGCCTTGCTCATATCTTTATTGAGTAATTTATATAAGTGATCATAATGAAACAAAACTAAATAAAAACTCAATTCATATATAAATGAATAAATATAAACTACATGCAAGAATAAAAACTCAGACTAATTATTTATCTGCGACCTAAATCTACTAAAGTGGTCAAGACTCATCTAGATTTGAATAGTTAATATATGATTAGTAGAAATACTGAACTGGATTCACAAGGTGAACCAGATATTAAATTTGCATTTAGCTAGCCCTGCTAGAGAGCAAGAGAAGGAATCAGAATGTAGTTGATCAAGTAAATTACATGGACAGTTATATGTAAAAGTGTTACGAGTTCTAATATGAAAATGAGTAGGAGATTATTGGCTAACTTGAGTAGAGGTAGATTTTGATGATATTTGATATGCTTTTTTCCAAGTAAAAAAGTTAATGCAGTATGGTTTTTATATTTGTTTGTAGATTTGATTGGAAATTTTGATAAAGATTTTGATAATTAGCTGTGAAGATATTGAATAAAATATATTAAATAGTAATATGCATTGGACAAGAAGAGAAGGAATAAGATCTTTAAGAGTAGAATGAAGAAAGTATGGATAGAGAGTAGAAGGATGAAAGGAGAAGGTGGGGTGGGATGAAATTATATGTATTAAGTAATTAAGTACATAAGAAGTGAGATCAAGATTGGCATTTAAAATAGTTTCTGAGATAAAAGAATTAATAAGAAAAGTGTCTTTTATTACGTGATTTTTTTGGGAAGGGGACCCTAACAAAATATCATGTATATAGAAAACCATCCATTGGGCTTTCAATTTAATTTAAATACTGATTATTATTTATCATGTAAGGGGGGAGTAAATTTAATATTTGCAAAAAATTACATAATAAATGACACTTCCCTAATTTGAGATAAGAAATTATAGTAAGAACAGGAGTACTAATGAGAAGGAGAGTCAGGACAGTTGTATTGAAAACAGTTAGAAGATGGGAATAGGTTAGGAATATAGAATGAAAATGAAAGTGTGTAGGCAAACTATTAAATAATATTTTAATTTTAAAAGATTTAAAGTGGCTAAGTTTAGAATTAGTGTAATTGTATAAACATTTATGATTATTATTAAAATATAGCTATGTAGAATTCCAGTCAATAAGGTTGAAAAAGTGTAACCATTCATCAGTACATCTTTGGGAGGACCACATAGAGATAGTATTAGCATTTCAGATATTTTTAATAAAGCGTTTAGAAGGGCTATTAATAAAGAAATTTTTTCATTGAAAGAAGAAAGAAGATTGTATATATTAGAATAATTAAACAATAGGGTTGGGGAGAATGTATAATCATTAGCAAGATGATCAGCTAGATTATTGAAAGTGTTATCACTATGGGCTTGAACTTTGTAAAAAGTTAAGTCAATATTAAATGCTTTAATTGAGTTAATAAGTGTATGCCAGATTGGCCAAGAGTTGAATTTAAAAAATTTAGTTGTGAAGTGAGGAGTTTGGAGGAGCTTATTGTACTTAGAGATTACAAATTGAGAGTTTGTATAAATATTAACAGAAGAGTTGCATGGAAAAGTAGAAATAGCAGAGAGAATAGCAAGAAGCTTAGTTTTGTATGACGAGTGCCAGTTAGTGATTTGAGCAGAGAGTATATAAATAGTTGTCTTTTAGAAGCTTAATAAAATTTAATTATTTAGTTTATAAAAAGATTATATATAAAATCTATTATAAAAAAAAAATCAAACCCCAAATAATAAAAACAAGAAACCAATAATTATTAACTCTTTCCGATAATCACTTGGACCAAATTTTCCGACAAAAAGAAAAGCCTTTTTCGATACTGGAGAGTAGTAACCTGTAGTGAGGTGAA